TGAAAGTAACGAGTAACTTGAAGTAACTGAGTTACTTTTGATAGAAGTAACTAGTAATGTAACTAAGTTACTAATTTAAAGTAACTTACCCAACACTGCTTATACAGTCTTTTCACTGCATGCCAAAGCACATCTTGACTCATATCTGCAGATGCAGATATAAGTGCCTTATGTTGTCTATGGTTCTTATTGATTTCCAACTAAGCTTTTGCCTCTTTAGCATTAGTTAACTTTGGACAACAACTGATGCACTCATGATTAACAACAATTTACCTTTCCATTTAGTTTGTCTGTTTGTTCTCTTGTGTTCTTTCTCCACAAAGCGAGCCGTTATTACCACCCGCCATAGTTTATTCTTTTGGCTGCTGTTTGGCTGATGCTAAATCCCATCATCTGGAGTTGCCTTGAGGCACACAATTGGAAAACCACTTAAAAATGTAAAAAGTAAAATGGAAATAGAAAATTAGAAAGTGCATAGCAACGCAGTTGCACCCACCCAAGATGGGTCTGAAGAAGTCATAAAAGTCTTTTATTTTAGTGGGCTGCAGAAGGCACGGGCTGATTCTCATGACTGCACTTTTTTAAATGTCTTTTAAAAATGCACATATATCTAAAAGTCTTGGAAAGTCTGTTTCACAGGCATCCATGACAACTGTATGACAACTCAACAGCTGAAGAGACAGTTTAATATTTTACTACTTATCCCATACACCCAGTTTTTCCTCTCCCCATTTTTCAGCAATGCCTCACCTAAAGCACAGTCTCTGGCCCAGCTCATTGCTTTTCATTCATCTGTCATCTTCATTATCGATAAGCGTTTATCATTTGTATTCGGGGTTGTGGTCCTTGCTGGTGAAAAGAAAATTAGAAGATCTTTAATCATGTGATTTACCCATAATGTACAGCACAGCCTCCTGACCTGAAACTGGCTGCACACAAAATGAAATTTCCCTTTCCAGTTGCATCACTTTGAGACATTGTGCTATAGCCGTATGTCCCTTTTTAGTTCAGCGGCTCTCTGAAGCCAAGAATTTATTGAGTTTGTCTGTCGGGCAAACTAAAATATGTATTGGGCCTGATTTGGCCCATGGGCCATGATATTAAGATGATAAAAACAAAAAGCAAGATGTACGGAACTAACAGCAGTGATTTCAATTTAAACCTACTTTGAGGAAATTAATAATCACATATCAAGATGTCTGAGATTAAACCTATTCAAGATGACCTCACGTATCATGAAGACTGAGACAAAAGCAATTAGCTATGTTATGCAGTGCAGGTGCAAGCCAATTATAGGACTCAATTACACCCACTTAGACTCAGTAATTGGAATTAATTAAACACCTATCAATCAGCAATCGACCAAAGAGTACACAGTGCCTGATTTCCCATTAAAACATCATCAAAAGAGGTGGCAAAAATTCTAAAAAGACCCAGCAGGAAAAATTATGTCTCAAATCTGTTTTTAGGAATTAAGAAAGTAGCCAAAAGGCCTCAAATCTCAGAGATACATTTTCTATTTTCCCCTCCTTCCTAAGGGTGTCAGTGTTTGAGATAAAGCAGGTAGCACAGGCAATTCAGAACTGTCATATTGTCAAACAGCCAGAAAAAGGGGTAGGCTGGCCTTTGACACCTATTGAAGCAGTGATGGGTGGCCGTTCTCACAGAGAGATGACAGCATGCTTTGGGTGTTGTTTTTCCACTATGAGAAATGAAACAGATAGCAGGTAAGGGTGTTTATGCTCAGTGGAGCTTAATTTTGACAAGTGTAGGTGCACCTTCCTGTATTTCATGGTTATGACACATTTGTTTTGTCATTTACATCCACTGAGATGTGTCTACAATTTTAATGATACCATTATTTGCTGCTGAGTGACTTTAGTTTTCACAATTAGGTCATGTCTATGAAGTATTCACTATATTCTAATCATCATTGCACTAACAACACTTTTTATTTTAAATATTACATGTTATAAGTCTTAATAAAGCATGATGTTCCATTATCCTAAATGTCTACATCCATTTGCATAAAGTTCAAAAAGATGGTCGCATGTTTTACCCTGACCTAAGCTAAAAGCATGCACATGCATATTCGTGCCAGATTATTCAGATACAATGCACCATTTCTCTTCATACAATGACAAATACACAATGGACTATTGAATTACTGAAGCCTGGGCCATTTTTATTTGTGCCTTGGCTCCAGGCATCCTGGCTGACCTGGAAAAAATCTTACACAGTAATACTTTCACATTAGTTTGTGTATTTACTGAGGTTTTCTCAATAATCGGTGATAAAATTCTGCAAATTAAGCTTTTCATAAGTTAAATGGGGAAGATGGCATATGAGCATGTGCTCCTCCTCTTCCTCAGCTTGCACGCTATTGCATGTTTTTGCAAAGATCAAAACCTGGCCCACCATCTGGTCTCCACGCAAATGTCAAGTCTCACCATGAGACCTCCTGTTTAGCCCTAAAGATCACAAACAACTAAACATGACACACTTGAAATGAAGTCGGTTTCCAGAAAATCTTAGGAACACCTTCTCAAAAGGTGTAGGAGT